ACCCCCATATTTTGATTTGATTTTTTGTTAAACTATGTGTGTAGAAACTAAAAATATACTTGACAAAAAAAGTTTAAGACTTTAAATATCACGTCGAACTTTAATTAGTACAGTTTATATTCTGCGTGTTATTTTTTACATTTCAAGATTTTTGTATATAAAATAGTAACGTTTTTATGTCACATTATAGCTTACATAATTTCTGCGTGTTTAATATTTTGCAAATTAAAAATGTTCGCAAAAATTGCGAAAATTAGATCATCCCGAAAAAAATTGGATATTCGGTATATAGGAAAAATCTTTAAAAATCATCTTTGAAGAAATCGGGGTACTGTGCCAGAAAAGCTGAAACTTATGTGGAAGCATTCGTGTGCTTTCGTGTGTAGGTAGATTTTAAATTGTTCAATTTATGACCGAAGTGATAAGATTGGGTCACAAAATGTATTACATAGGGGGAATTTAGTAAAGAGATTTGTGTTGATTTTGTCGTTATCTGCTGGACACTTTGTGTTGAGATTGTCGATATCTGCTGGACTCTTGGTGTTCAGATTGTCGATATCTGCTGGACTCTTTGTGTTGAGATTGTCGTTATCTGTTGGACTCTTTGTGTTGTGATTGTCATTATCTGCTGGACTCTTTGTGTTGAGATTGTCGTTATCTGCTGGACTCTTTGTGTTGAGATTGTTGTTATCTACTAGACTCTTTGTGTTGAGATTGTCGTTATCTGCTGGACTCTTTGTGTTGAGATTGTTGTTATCTACTAGACTCTTTGTGTTGAGATTGCCGTTATCTGCTGGGCTCTTGGTGTTGAGATTGTCGTTATCTGCTGGACTCTTTGTGTTGAGATTGTTGTTATCTACTAGACTCTTTGTGTTGAGATTGTCGTTATCTGCTGGACTCTTGGTGTTGAGATTGTCGTTATCTGTTGGACTCTTTGTGTTGAGATTGTCGTTATTTGCTAGACTCTTTGTATTGAGATTGTTGTTATCTGCTGGACTCTTTGTGTTGATGTTGTCGTTATCTGTTGGACTCTTTGTGTTGAGATTGTCGTTATTTGCTAGACTCTTTGTATTGAGATTGTTGTTATCTGCCTGACTCTTTGTGTTGATGTTGTCGTTATCTGTTGGACTGTTTGTGTTGAGATTGTCGTTTTCTACTGGACTCTTTGTGTTGTAATTGTCGTTAGCTCTTGGAGTCTTTGTGTTGAGATTGTCGTTATCTGCCTGACTCTTTGTGTTGAGATTGTCGTTATCTGCTGGACTCTTCATGTTGAGATTGTTGATATCTGCTGGACTCTTTGTTTTGAGATTGTCACTATCTGTTGGACGCTTAGTGTTGAGATTGTCGTTATCTGCTAGACTCTTTGTATTCGCAATACAGTTAAGGCGCGCAATGGAAATATCGATAAATTTTGTATTTAGAAATGTATTCGTAATCGGGATGGCGATTATTTTTAGTACATTATTTATATCGGATAATTGTAATTATGATTGATAACTACATATCGAGGACGATTATATTTTATATTTAGACTAGTCACGTGATGCGGCAGTCACGCGATTTTAGCAGATTGAATTGAAGTATTGATGTTACATATAAATATCACTAGTGCAAGGGCATAACCAAATGAAATAAAAAGGTATGGTTTCCATACAAATTTTGCCCCGTGATTTTCTAAAAAATGAAACTGGTGTAAAAGTTGAAAACTCATGCTTTTTAAATAATTGAAATACAATGCAGAAAAATCATACAAGCCATTTTTCTCACATGTGTTTTTAAATGCTAATTATGATGTCATTAAAATGTGCATTTTCCCGTATTTTTTAAAAAAGTTGCAGAAGACACCAATTTTCAATGGAATTTTCTTTCAGATAACATTGTCCACAGGCATCGCCCACAAAGATCTTGATATATGTGATTTGTTATTAAATTGTGCACAAAATATCAAAAAATTAACGTGGGCGACGGCTGTGAACACTGTTTTCTAAAGGAAAATTCCCCTTGAAATGTGCCATTTTTGATGCTTTTTCCGTTGAAAATAGAGAAATGCTTCATTTTAATGACGTCATATTTGCAGAATGGTAAACCTTCATGCCATATTCTTTCCTGATTTATCACAGTCGTATACTTAACTAATATTTAAGCCAGTTTCAAAACTTATTGATATCATTACATTTTTAGGGCGCAATAAAGCTAAAACCATACCTTCTTCTTTCCAAGTTTAGTATATAAATATTTTCAACACCATTGTAGTTTCTAAAAAGTGCTGCGATCCTGTCTAAATTCTGCAATTTCATTGTTAAAATTATACTTGTATGACCGATTGCTATATTTTTTGCTGGTCAGCGGCATGAAATATTGATATAATTAAATTTTTTTTAAGATTTCATCAGGATCGCAGCACTTTTCAGATACCTTAATAGTTCTATAGTTGAAATGTAAAAGCTTACTTTGATCCATAGAGTGTATGCCCTTGCACTAGATCGATTTATTAAGACCCCCCAGATTACCATATATTAATAAAATAGCGAAGAAGACATTAAATTCACGTTAATGACCCATAGAATATCTGTATTTAATATTTTATTTAATTAGAGAATACATATTTTGATGAGAAAATATTACTTGATCTGTCTCTCACTGCATACAAACTAAGTCACGTTGTAAGAAATGACTTCATATTGGCAAGTGTATTGCAATCAGTGACTTGTTTATAACTTGTTATGTGGGATTTAACTAACGACAAAACAACACGCAGAAGTAAGTTTTTAGGTAGTTTGATGATTTTTTACTGGTTAAATTAGCAGATAAACTCATTTTGTGGTATTTTAAAGAAATGTTGTATGACATATATTGTGCATGATGTCATAGTCAATTTTCCCGTACAAATTAGGCTCCGCCTCCTTTTTGTAACCTTAACTGTGCTGCGTTGAGGTTATTGTAATCTGCCTGACTCTTTGTGTTGAGATTGTCGTTATCTGCCTGACTCTTTGTGTTGAGTTTGTCGTTATCTGCTGGATTCTTTGTGTTGAGATTGTTGTTATTTGTTGGACTCTTTGTGTTGCGATTGTCGTTATTTGTTGGACTCTTTGTGTTTGAATTATCGTTATTTGTTGGACTCTTTGTGTTGATATTGTTGTTATCTGCTGGACTCTTTGTGTTGGGATTGTCGTTTTCTGCTGGACACTTTCTATTGAGATTGTCGTTATCTGCTGGACTCTTTGTGTTGATATTGTCGTTATCTGTTGAACTTTTTGTGTTGAGATTGTCGTTATCTGCTGGACTCTTTGTGTTGATATTTTTGTTATCTGTTGGACACTTTGTGTTGTGATTATCGTTATCTGCTGGACACTTTGTATTGAGATTGTCGTTATCTGCTGGACTCTTTGTGTTGATATTGTCGTTATCTGTTGAACTTTTTGTGTTGAGATTGTCGTTATCTTCTGGAATCTTTGTGTTGAGATTGTTGTTATTTACTGGATTCTTTGTGTTAAGAATGTCGTTATCTGTTGGACTCTTTGTGTTGGGATTATCGTTATTTGTTGGACTCTTTGTGTGAGATTGTTGTTATCTGCTGGACTCTTTGTATTGAGATTGTCGTTATCTGCTGGACTCTTTGTGTTGAGATTGTTGTTATCTGCTGGACTCTTTATGTTGAGATTGCTGTTATCTGCTGGATACTTTGTGTTGAGATTTGTTGTTATCTGCTGGACTCTTTGTGTTGAGATTGTCGTTATGTGCTTGACTCTTTGTGTTGAGATTGTCGTTATGTGCTTGACTCTTTGTGTTGAGATTGTCGTTATGTGTTGGACTCTTTGTGTTGAGATTGTCGTTATGTGTTGGACTCTGATATTATCATGCTTACATCTTATATATCGTAAATATTGATCTAAATATCGATACAAACACTACATAATATTATTAGCTTCAGTTCAAATTCTAATAACATTGGAGTCGGAAGCCAATTGGAAGGGGAAAAGAAAAAAAATTCAAGCCAGAAAAAGAAATTAACAATGAAATAAATAAATGACCATTGTCTAAACTTAAAAAAAAACTATTTCTTTGGGGGGGATGGGTGGGTAACGATTTTTTCCCGAACCACTACCACTTACCTATTTGACTACACTGAAACATGCCTTTTGAAAGTTGGGGGGGGGGGGGGCTATTCTACATTTATTATGTCTATATTTTGCAAATATGGGGGAGGGGGCTTAAGCCCATTTCCGTTTCCAACGCCTATGATTAATGCAGACGAACTATAGAAAACTGACAAAGGCTGAAGAGGACTCTCAAAGTGCTGTTCAAGAAATTAGAAAATGTTCATTTAGGAATTAAATAATTTATACAGAAAAAGTGATTTTAAAAATCAAAATATATATTCTTTGTTGAACATTTTCAAGTTAGTGAAAACAGAGGGCATATTTTGTGTTGATTTTGTCGTAATCTTTGTAGTCTTTGTGTTGAGATTGTCGTTATCTATTGAACTGTTTGTGTTGAGATTGGTGTTATCTAATGGACTGTTTGTGCTGAGACTGTTGTTATCTAATGGACTCTTTGTGTTAATATTGTCGTTATCTGCTGGACTCTTTGTGTTGAGAATATCGTTATCTGTTGGACTCTTTGTGTTGAGATTGTCGTTATCTGTTAGAATCTTTGTGTTGAGATTGTCGTTATCTGCTGCACACTTTTTGTTGAGATTGTCGTTATCTTCTTGACCCTTTGTGTTGAGATTTTCGTAACCTGCTGGACTCTTTGTGTTGAGATTGTCATTATCTTCTGGAATCTTTGTGTTGATTTTGTCGTGATCTTCTGGACTCTTCGTGTTGGGATTGTTGTTATCTACTGGACTCTTTGTGTTGGGATTGTTGTTATGTGCTGGACTCTTTGTGTTGAGATTGTCGTAATCTGCTGGACTCTTTGTGTTGAGAATGTCATTATCTTCTGGACTCTTTGAGTTGGGATTTTTGTTATCTACTGGACTCTTTGTGTTGAGATTGTCGTTATCTGCTAGACTCTTTGTGTTGAATATCTTCTGGACTCTTTGTGTTGAAAATGTCGTTATCTTCTGGACTCTTTGTGTTGAGATTGTTGCTATCTGCTGGACTCTTTTTGTTGGGATTGTTGTTATCTACTGAACTCTTTGTGTTGAGATTGTCGTTATCTGCTAGACTCTTTGTGTTGAAATTGTCATTATCTGCTGGACTCTTTGTGTTGATTTTGTCGTAATTTTTGGACTCTTTGTGTTGAGGTTTTTGTTATCTGCTGGACTCTTTGTGTCGGGATTGTCGTTATCGACTGGACTCTTTGTGTTGAGATTGTCGTTATGTGCTGGACTCTTTGTGTTGAGATTATCGTTATCTGTTGGACTCTTTGTCTTGAGATTGACGTTATCTGCTGGACTCTTTGTGTTGGGATTGTTGTTATCTACTAAACTCTTTGTGTTGAGATTGTTGTTATCTGCTAGACTCTTTGTGTTGAAATTGTCATTATCTGCTGGACTCTTTGTGTTGATTTTGTCGTAATTTTTGGACTCTTTGTGTTGAGGTTTTCGTTATCTGCTGGACTCTTTGTGTCGGGACTGTCGTTATCGATTGGACTCTTTGTGTTGAGATTGTCGTTATGTGCTGGACTCTTTGTGTTGAGATTATCGTTATCTGTTGGACTCTTTGTCTTGAGATTGACGTTATCTGCTGGACTCTTTGTGTTGAGATTGACGTTATCTGCTGGACTCTTTGTGTTGAGATTGTCGTTATCTGCTGGACTCTTTGTGTTGAGATTGTCGTTAACTGTTTTACTCTTTGTGTTGAGATTGTCGTCATCTGCTGGATTCTGTGTTTTGAGATTGTCGTTAACTGCTGGACTCTTTGTGTTGAGATTGTCGTAATCTGTTGGAGTCTTTTTGTTGGGATTGTTGTTATCTACTAAACTCTTTGTGTTGAGATTGTCGTTATCTGCTAGACTCTTTGTGTTGAAATTGTCATTATCTGCTGGACTCTTTGTGTTGATTTTGTCGTAATTTTTGGACTCTTTGTGTTGAGGTTTTCGTTATCTGCTGGACTCTTTGTGTCGGGATTGTCGTTATCGACTGGACTCTTTGTGTTGAGATTGTCGTTATGTGCTGGACTCTTTGTGTTGAGATTATCGTTATCTGTTGGACTCTTTGTCTTGAGATTGTCGTTATATGCTGGACTCTTTGTGTTGAGATTGTCGTTAACTGTTGGACTCTTGGTGTTGAGATTGTCGTCATCTGCTGGATTCTGTGTTAAGATTGTCGTTATCTGCTGGACTCTTTGTGTTGAGATTGTCGTTATCGACTGGACTCTTTGTGTTGAGATTGTCGTTATCTGCTAGACTCTTTGTGTTGAGATTGTCGTTATCTGCTGGACTCTTTGTGTTGAGATTGTCGTTATCGACTGGACTCTTTGTGTTGAGATTGTCGTTATCTGCTGGACTCTGTGTTAAGATTGTCGTTATCTGCTGGACTCTTTGTGTTGAGATTGTCGTTATGTGCTGGACTCTTTGTGTTGAGATTATCGTTATCTGTTGGACTCTTTGTCTTGAGATTGTCGTTATATGCTGGACTCTTTGTGTTGAGATTGACGTTATCTGCTGGACTCTTTGTGTTGAGATTGTCGTTATCTGCTGGACTCTTTGTGTTGAGATTGTCGTTATCTGCTGGACTCTTTGTGTTGAGATTGTCGTCATCTGCTGGATTCTGTGTTTTGAGATTGTCGTTAACTGCTGGACTCTTTGTGTTGAGATTGTCGTAATCTGTTGGAGTCTTTTTGTTGAGATTGTCGTTATCTGCTGGATTCTGTGTTTTGAGATTGTAGTTATCTGCTGGACTCTCTGTGTTGAGATTGTCGTTAACTGTTGGACTCTTTGTGTTGAGTTTGTCGTTATCTGTTGGATTCTTTGTGTTGAGTTTGTCGTTATCTGCTGGACTCTTTGTGTTGAGGTTTTCGTTATCTGCTGGACTCTTTGTGTCGGGATTGTCGTTATCGACTGGACTCTTTGTGTTGAGATTGTCGTTATGTGCTGGACTCTTTGTGTTGAGATTATCGTTATCTGTTGGACTCTTTGTCTTGAGATTGTCGTTATATGCTGGACTCTTTGTGTTGAGATTGTCGTTAACTGTTGGACTCTTGGTGTTGAGATTGTCGTCATCTGCTGGATTCTGTGTTAAGATTGTCGTTATCTGCTGGACTCTTTGTGTTGAGATTGTCGTTATCGACTGGACTCTTTGTGTTGAGATTGTCGTTATCTGCTAGACTCTTTGTGTTGAGATTGTCGTTATCTGCTGGACTCTTTGTGTTGAGATTGTCGTTATCGACTGGACTCTTTGTGTTGAGATTGTCGTTATCTGCTGGACTCTGTGTTAAGATTGTCGTTATCTGCTGGACTCTTTGTGTTGAGATTGTCGTTATGTGCTGGACTCTTTGTGTTGAGATTATCGTTATCTGTTGGACTCTTTGTCTTGAGATTGTCGTTATATGCTGGACTCTTTGTGTTGAGAATGTCATTATCTTCTGGACTCTTTGAGTTGGGATTGTTGTTATATACTGGACTCTTTGTGTTGAGATTGTCGTTATCTGCTAGACTCTTTGTGTTGAATATCTTCTGGACTCTTTGTGTTGAAAATGTCGTTATCTTCTGGACTCTTTGTGTTGAGATTATTGCTATCTGCTGGACTCTTTGTGTTGGGATTGTTGTTATCTACTGAACTCTTTGTGTTGAGATTGTCGTTATCTGCTAGACTCTTTGTGTTGAAATTGTCATTATCTGCTGGACTCTTTGTGTTGATTTTGTCGTAATTTTTGGACTCTTTGTGTTGATGTTTTTGTTATCTGCTGGACTCTTTGTGTCGGGATTGTCGTTATCGACTGGACTCTTTGTGTTTAGATTGTCGTTATGTACTGGACTCTTTGTGTTGAGATTATCGTTATCTGTTGGACTCTTTGTCTTGAGATTGACGTTATCTGCTGGACTCTTTGTGTTGGGATTGTTGTTATCTACTAAACTCTTTGTGTTGAGATTGTTGTTATCTGCTAGACTCTTTGTGTTGAAATTGTCATTATCTGCTGGACTCTTTGTGTTGATTTTGTCGTTATCTGCTGGACTCTTTGTGTTGAGGTTTTCGTTATCTGCTGGACTCTTTGTGTGAGATTGTTGTTATCTGCTGGACTCTTTGTATTGAGATTGTCGTTATCTGCTGGACTCTTTGTGTTGAGATTGTTGTTATCTGCTGGACTCTTTATGTTGAGATTGCTGTTATCTGCTGGATCTTTGTGTTGAGATTTGTTGTTATCTGCTGGACTCTTTGTGTTGAGATTGTCGTTATGTGCTTGACTCTTTGTGTTGAGATTGTCGTTATGTGCTTGACTCTTTGTGTTGATATTGTTGTTATGTGTTGGACTCTTTGTGTTGAGGTTGTCGATAACTGCTGGACTCTTTGATATTATCATGTTTACATCTTATATATCTTAAATATTGATCTAAACATCGATACAAACACTACATAATATCATTACCTTCAGTTCAAGTTCTAGTAATATTGGAGTCGTAGGCCATTGGAAGTGGGAATGAAAAAAAAATTCAAACCTGAAAAAGAAATTAACAAAGAAATAAATAAATGACCATTGTCTAAACTTAAAAAAAAACTATTTCTTTGGGGATGGGTGGGTAACGATTTTTTCCCGAACCACTACCACTTACCTATTTGACTACACTGAAACATGCCTTTTGAAAGTTGGGGGGGGGGGGGGGGGCTATTCTACATTTATTATGTCTATATTTTGCAAATATGGGGAGGGGGCTTAAGCCCATTTCCGTTTCCAACGCCTATGATTAATGCAGACGAACTATAGAAAACTGACAAAGGCTGAAGAGGACTCTCAAAGTGCTGTTCAAGAAATTAGAAAATGTTCATTTAGGAATTAAATAATTTATACAGAAAAAGTGATTTTAAAAATCAAAATATATATTCTTTGTTGAACATTTTCAAGTTAGTGAAAACAGAGGGCATATTTTGTGTTGATTTTGTCGTAATCTTTGTAGTCTTTGTGTTGAGATTGTCGTTATCTATTGAACTGTTTGTGTTGAGATTGGTGTTATCTAATGGACTGTTTGTGCTGAGACTGTTGTTATCTAATGGACTCTTTGTGTTAATATTGTCGTTATCTGCTGGACTCTTTGTGTTGAGAATATCGTTATCTGTTGGACTCTTTGTGTTGAGATTGTCGTTATCTGTTAGAATCTTTGTGTTGAGATTGTCGTTATCTGCTGCACACTTTTTGTTGAGATTGTCGTTATCTTCTTGACCCTTTGTGTTGAGATTTTCGTAACCTGCTGGACTCTTTGTGTTGAGATTGTCATTATCTTCTGGAATCTTTGTGTTGATTTTGTCGTGATCTTCTG